AAGAGAAAAAAAAAAGAATTTGAATCCTTTTCAATAGGAAAAATATTATTTATTTACTTTGCTTAATTCAAAAAAAAGTATGATATCTAAAAAAACTCTGCATTATTCAAAAAAAATTCATATAAATTTTTATACTTTTATTATATTAAATCGAGTTTTTAAACTTTTATTTCGAGTCAAATAAATTTTTATATTTTTTTAATTAAATAAGTATTTATCACTAATGATAGATTTAATCAAAAATATTATTTCTCATTTTATGTCACATAACACTAACATGACATTTGACATATCATAATAAATATATTGATATGACATGATAACATAGTTATATTATTTTTTTTACTCTTCATACCAGTGCTATATAAATATAAAATAATGAAAGAGCATTTTGATTATTGATAATTAATAAACCATTACTTATCAAGGTTTATTTGACTCAAAAATAAAAATATAAGGTTTGATTAAATGTAATAAAAAAATATAAATTTATTTAAAATTTCTTAAATAATTTAAGGACATTTTTTTAGTATTATGCTTTTAAAAAATAACTTAACTTAAGATAAAATAGAAGCTAAAATTATAAGTTAAAAGAAGTGATGGAGTATAAGAAATGTAAATCCAGTTGGATTTAGAGAAAGAAAGCTAAGATGGCGTATTTTGAAGATGAAAAGAAAGAGAGAAGAGTTGAGGACTGGCCTAATAAGGTGGCAGAAGGACCACCAAACCTTTTTAGGAAGGTAGCTTGTAAATTGCAATGAAAGGGAAATGTATGCGAGTGAGTGCTCAAAGCGGATAATGTTGGGAGGATTAAGCCACTAAATCTTCAGCTCAGTGCTTTAGTCAATCATTCTTTTCTTTTCCTTCTTTTAAGTCCATTTCTGGTTGCATATATTCCCACATTAATGGAAGACGTATATGTAAATTTTTATAAAATAAAATAAAAATGATATATAAAACTTTTATGATTAATGATTGATTAATTTTCATTCATCAAAATGCCACTCGATATTTTATACTCACATGTCATTGATATAACGTTGATGTGGAAGGTGAAAATTGACACATGACTATATCACACCATCATCAATTATGTTATGTTAACATATCATGTTATTATCAATTATGATATTTCAACATATTACGTCAATACCAAGTAGTGTAAAATGACAAGTGGTATTTTAACTAAATCAACTATTAATCATAAAAGTTAATTTAGCTCAAAATAAAAATATAAAGATCTATTTGAATTTTTTTTAAATAGTTTAAGGACTTTTTTAAGTATTAAGTCAAAAAAAAAAATTGCGTGTGATTATTGAAGCTGTTATAAAATTTTCAATCTCTTTACCATTTCTTCACCTTCATAGTTTATAAATTTTTGGTATAATGTTTTAAAAAAATCTTTAAAATTATTTTAAAAAATTCAAATAAATTTTTATTCTTTTATTACGTACAATCAAGTAATTATATTTTTATTTTAAATCAAATAAATCTTTATAACTAATAATGACTAATTGTAATTAGTTAAAACATTACTTGTCATTTTATATACTCTATACGTGACATTAAGGTGAAAGGTGAAAGGTGAAAATGTGATATGACCATATCATCATACCATGTTATTATCTATTATGATATATGAATATACCGTATCAACATCATGTCGTATAAAATAACATGTGGTATTTTAACTAAAAATAATTAATCAAATGTTAATTATAAAAACTTAATTAATTTAAAATAAAAATATAAAATGTTAATTGAACGAAATAAAAAAGAAATTTAATATTTGTTTGAATATTTCTTAATAATTAATTGAAGTACAAAGTCTAAATTTTGCAATAACAGAAATGCAAGCTGCTAAATATAAAAGAATGGAGTCCAAGACGTATACAATTAAAGCAGAGATGATAATTAAGTTAAGACCACATTCTATTAGATATTCCCGTTGAAGACATAAAGAAGAGTGCGGAGGTCCAAGGCTTGCAAAGAACTAAATAATGGCGGTGGAATGATTCCCCTACATGGGAGTAATAAAAAGGGGAGGCATTCCCATTTTATTATATCTTTGCAATATTTTGAAACAAGGCAAACTTTCGCATCCACGCCTTATATTATTTCAGGCTAGTGGCTGGCAACTCAATTCCTACCCTTATTTCAAAGCTCTACGCGGACTACAAATTGGCTTTTTCCTTCTCAGAAGCTAACCAAAACCAGCATCAATTCGCTCCTGCATTTCCATCAGGGATTCATAATTTGTTCTTCTTTTTTTCATCAAATAAACATCTTTTCTATTTTGGGTTTTAACTCATTATGATCAGAACATGTTCGGTCGTTAAAATTTGATCATATATCGATCATCTATTCTCGTCATATATATGTATATCATAATGATCATTAATTCTCACAACTCCATTTCCATATTCTAGTTATAGTTTTAGCGGCAACTATGACTCGTCAAAAAGGAGATTCATCATTCCTAAAATCCATATAAAGAAATTCAAAAGAGCACAGATCCTCACCAATTAAATTACGTTTTCAAGTTTTTAGCAGGTTAGAAAATGAAACCCAATACACAAAACCTCTACCACTCATAAAAGGGTCAACATATATTATTCAATTCCAATGTGCATTTAACTCACAATCAAATATTCCTAGATGTGGAGCATAAGTGGACCATGAACTGTAATTGAGATTAATTAATTATAAAATTTTATATGCATCTGCCTATTCTCATGTTTATCAACATCAATTGTGACCATGGAGTTAATGTGGCATGAAAAGAAAACGTGGGAAAACAACTCCTCTTTTTGCCCCAAAAGCTATATACATATACATATATAGATAGATATATATTATAAGTGTATGTTGAGCAAAGACAGCCAAAATGATTGCAGTTTCTGATCTTTACGAAATTAATTCCCTCGAGGAATATTTATATTTGGGAAAGGGAGAGGGATAATCAATCCCAGACTCAATAGGCCATAATATTCCAGCCTTTTTACATGTATTCTGTCCCAACCTTATCATTCATTCATGGCACTCAACTCATATCTTCCGTCCAGATTATCCAATCTTAACATTTATTTGGACATATTATCTAAGAAAAGTTTTAATTTATTTAAACAAATTTTATTTTTTTATATTTTTATTTTAAGTTAAATAAACATTTATAATTAATGAGAAATGATTTATTATTCTATATCATATGATATTGATATGATATATTGACATGTTATGATAAATGATGACATGATATATCGAATGATATAATGATATGATCAAAAAATATTTTTTATAATTCTCGTCAGCATCACGTAAGTATAAAATGATAAATATTATTTTGACTAATAATAATTAATTATAAAAATTATTTAATTTAAAATAAAACTATAAAAACTTACTTAAACGTAATATAAGAATAAAATTTCGATACTACCTAGAGCAAATATACTGGTGCAAGACTTGCTAGATATTGGTTTTCATTGAAAGGGGTGGATGTAATTTCAATATATTTGACTTAAAACAATGAACCGACAAACATGTGTGGGGATTCAACATCATATCTTTCATCTAAATTTCACTTTTTTGATTGAAAGCCTAAAGTGTAGAATCAGTTAAAAGTTGAGGAAGCGCGTTTTTGGCACAGAGCCTGCTAATTCCAGGCATTAATTAAGACAACCCCTTTAAGCATATGGCCTTCCAACCACAAAAAGCTTGCTTCTTCCAACTAATATAATCAACCTAGCCTTGTTGCTTCAATCATTGAGTAGTCGAAAGAGTTATGGTTTTGGGAAGTGACCTGCATATGGGGGATTGGGCAAAAGAAGCCTGGTTCGTGGGGCCACGAGGCAGCGAATCCGTTTGTCAAAGTGTCGAGGAATTATTGACACATTCTTTACAAGGAAGAGAGCATCAATCATTTTCCCAGGCCGGAAACAAGGGTCAACAAGTTGCATGGGATTCCCTAATGCAGGAACTTTGATCGTGAGAGGATTGCTGGTAGGTGAGCTGCATATTCATTTCTTGTCAAACCCAATGAAAGAGAGGGCGGCTCTGCTGCATGTGAGCTTGGAATGGTTTTTGGACCCCATCCCCCATTGTCTGCTTTTGCCGATGGTGCCGACACCACCCCATGATACCATCAGGAACGTTCATCTCTATTCCCAAGTTTCAACTTGTTTGTTTTCATGAATCGAGGTAGACTTAAAATGGGACAGCAACAAGGAGGAATGTAACTTCCCAACACATGCCAATAAGCCTTATGTACTGCTTACTTGTCCCTTGTACCTCGTTTCTTTGTTAAATCTGTCACTTTAAAAACTGTAATTAGGCAGTTCGTGATATCTTATCCTCAATTCCATTGGGCACCAAAAAGAGTTTTAGAAAAGAAATGCTCTATATATTTTAGACTTTGACCTACAAAAGTGAAGTAAAGACAGCTTAAGCATTTCAACAAAGCAAATGATCCAGGAACTAACAATTCCCTCTTTTTGCTAGGGAACTTGGTTTAGGATTCCCTTTCCACTCGAGGAGATTCTGAAGAAAGCAACAAGATTGAGGTGTTCTAAAGGTAAGAGTGAAGAAATCTAGGGAAAGTTTTTTGAGGTGGCAGGTTATGCCATTACAGTGTTATAATACTTTCATATCAAAAACTAATTTTCTCTTACCTTGATCTCAGGCAAAGTATGAAGGGCTGAAAGAACGCCGAATCTAAGCAAAAGCAGCATCAGAAAACCAGATTCCATTTCTCTTTGAGAAAGCTCTATCCCGACCTGTGAGTCTGGAAGCATCAAGTATCAACTCAACTATGAATTTGAGGTTTAAGACTGCGATTCAAGAGTTTTCACCTCCATCTGCTGAGGCCATTTTCAAGGCCTTTTTCCTTATGAATCTAGGAAAGGTATTTTATTCCAGACTCTATGGTTACACATGCATTACAAAGTTACATGTTAAATGATCCGATTAGTTTAGACAAATATCATGAGTCACAAGCAACATTTATAACCACTACATATATAGCCGCTGTATAAAGCAAATGTTCAGAACTAAGACTTTACAGAGACAAAATGAACAAATCCTAAGAAGCAGTCATAAAGAAATCTTAAAAGGTAAAAATTGAGAGAAATTTAACAAGCAGTTTGATATTTTCTATTATAAGTAGGAGCACTGATTGAACAAAATGGCTTTACATATGAAATTTAAGACCTCCAAGCAAATAGACTCAAAACACATAAACTGATAAATTCATACCATTCTGCGCTATGCAAACACAACACACTAGACTATTCTTCTTCAAACGCTTTCAACCAGTCACCAGTGCTATGTGTTTATTTTTGTATGAAGTAACCATCTTTATGTTGTGCTTCCTTAACTTCGGTAACAGCAACAAACAAATGGTGATGCAATCTGAACAGCCTGTCCGGATGTTTCAATCATGGGGTGTTCGAAAGGGGCTAACTTCACATTCTCAATAAGCAGATTCATGAGATGGACTATCTGCATGCATGTCCATTGAGGAATCATTGGAGCTGAGAGGATTAGAATCCCTAGTCTGGTGTTGGAGAAAGTTAGATTCATTATTCCTGGCCCCATTTCCTGAAGGCAGACCACCATTAGGACAGTAGCCTCCCTGAGAAATGTGATAATGCTGAAGACTCTGACGAACAGGACTTGATAAAGCATTTGAGAAAACTAAATTCTTCGGCTGCTGATCACAGTGGTCAGGCCGAGTTCCCAGCCCAGCAGTTTGGCCAGATGACCCTGAAGAGACCATGAAATTGGTATTCATAAAGTGCATTGTAGGCTGGGAATGCTGATGTTGGCTTGGTGCTCTCGGTGACATCGGAGGCTCCTCACTGCAGTGGTCCAGCTCATTCTGCAAGCAGATCATAAAATTTTCATGTTTTCAGAATATAGTAAAGATAATTATCAGTTACAGAAAGAGCAAAGGATCAGAAAGAACACAAGTGTCAGGTATGCCAAAAAAGGTTCTTACACTTCAGAAGCGAGAACCTCTTCATGCCATCTTTGCAATAAACACAGAAATGCTTGCACATATCTTTTGAGGCCAAAACTAGAATATTAAAACCTAACGAACAATTTTCAGATTCCAAGAGTCATCGATACTTTTCACCATTATGGTAATGGTGTCACTCAAGTTGTCCGAAAGTTGGCATAAACCTGATTATTGTGCAGACTCAACTCCTGAATAACAGCATAATAACTCCTCTCAATAACTCATTCTGATTCAAACTATGAGAAATAAACAAAACAGACTCGAAAAAAGAGACATCTACTACTAAATCGTAGGTTTCTAACATATGAATAAACTATCATCCAAATAAGAAGCTGAAAATTAGTTCTTATGGCATATCCTAACTAAGGGTCACCTCTATTACGGATAAATCCATATCATAAGACAACTGCCCTAGCAATTAAGGGTTTCAGCAGTTCCTAGTGACACAGACCTGACTGCAAGCCCGTCCAGACCTCTCCCTAACAGACATTTCAGTGACAGGTTTTGGTCATGTTACTAAAAGAAAGAGGTACAATGATTTCATAATGATGTGTTTACAGCCACCATCATAGAGAACAGTATATTCATCAAATATCAAAGTTTCAGGAGTTCAACCCAAGCTTATTATGGATGTACAAGGACCATTTGTTTTATTTTAATAATATTCAGGAATATTCAAAAATCAATTAAATATATTTAAGACTAAAATCATTAGATATAAAATGGGATAATGCTCAATTTAGCTCCTAAACCTTAGGGAAATGTCTACATGGTACCTATATTAAAAAAATGTTCAATGTGATACCTGAATATATTTGGTGTATCAATCTACCTCAATTAATAACATGGTTAACGAAATTTATCAACATAGTTTCTAAACAGTCAAAACGTGACACGTGACAAGAAAATGCCACATCACCCAATGGACCGTTTCAACTTCAACATGTGGCACACACGTGGCTGCCATGTATCATAATTTTTTCAAAAATAAAAAAAATATTAAAAAAATATTTTGAAAATTAAAATATAGAAACCTTTATAAAATTCTTTTTTCTTCTTTCCTTCTCTCTCCTCTCCCTCATCTTCTCTCTCAACCCCACTCCTAATAGCAGAATCCAGCCAATCACCAACTAAATTTGGTCAGCCGAGGTCAGATACAGCATTTGTAAGCTGAAAATGACCTTCAACACCTGGTAGATCCTGCTTATTTCAGACCAATTCCGGCCTGTTTTCAGGCATTTCTGGCGTATCGACGCCAAATCTGGCCTCAGCTGGCCAGATCTGGTCGGTGACTGGTCAGATTCGACCATTAGGAGGGGGGATTCGGAGAGAGAAGAGGAAGCACAGAGAGAGAGAAGGAAAGAAATGAATGAATTATTTTATAAAATTTCTGTTTCTTGTTTCTCAAAAAATAAAAATGTAATTTTAAAATATTTTCATTTTAATTTTTCAAAAAATAAATAATTTTGTTTCTAAAGATTTTTAAACAATAAAATTTAAAATTTTGAAAAAAAAGGAAAAGGAAAAGTTCTAAAATTTGCAGTTTTTTAATTTTAAAAAATAAAAATTTATTTTTAAAACTTTGGGAGTTTTTTCATTTAAAAAAATATTTTATAAAATACTATATTTTTATTTTTTAAAATATAAAATTTTCAATTATTTTTAAAAAATAGAAATTAAAATTTTTAATAAATAGATCATGCCATGTGTCTATCCTAATCATTACCACATCATCAGATTTTCTTACCGTGATAGACTTGGGACACATTGGTAATGAGAATGAAAATTCAGTAGCACAGTGAACGTTTTTTTATTACAGGTACCACATTAGATATTTTTTCTAAGGTAAAGGGATTCAATGGGACATTATCCCTTTCAAAATCATGCAAAATTGGGTCAAAAGTTATCACACAACAATACTACCCCACGTTAGTAGAAAACCTTACTGCAACAGGGAAGACTTGCTTTGTCTCGGCATTGACCAACTTATATGCAACTAGATTAAATCATCTCCTCTCTATAATACGAACAACAGGATTCTAGGCTGGTAATTTTACATAACTTTCTTCCATCCTTGTTTATGACTGTACTTGAAATAAAAGCATAAAATAAGGATGTAAGCTTTTCTTGTTGTAATGTCTAGTATGCCTTTCCTAGTGGCCAAAACTAGCTGCAGAACAATTAAAAAACAAAAAAGAAACCACATATAAATAGATTCAACATTTATCATTTATCATCTGATAAGAGCCCAAAATAGAATAGTAACCAGATATGGCTTTAACAGACCAAAGGTTTGCACATTGTCAATATTATAAGGAATCTAATACACAGAGAAAAGTCGAAGAGATATGTCATTCAATTTCAAAAAGACAACCAAGGAAAAGGGATATATCATTCAACCTTAATAGGAAGCCTAGATGAACTTTTCATGAGCTACATTAGAACTAAAATGGCATAAAGCTTATCATTATGCACCCACATATATTAAAGGTATCTACAACAGAACTCCAAAGCAAACACATTCAAAGAGTGAATGCTAGATCAAAAATAGTCAAACGAGAAAAAACAAAACAAACCTGAAGGTAACTGAGTATATCCATTGTTGTTACTCTTGATCCCCCCTCTTGTTGTCTCCAAATCCACTGATAAAGTTTTTCCTGAAAAAAAGATGAAATGATCATAGAGCAGGACTGGATAACTCACAACTAGAAGCACATCACATATGACCAGACGAGCAAGTTGAAAAGTAAAAGCTGGAAGCCAAATTGAGACAAAAAAAAATAACATAACAGCTGAAACTTTATAATTCCCTATATTTTACACTTAATGAAGTGTGAACCAAGGGTAGACCTTACTTTACTTTTAACAGAAACAATTTCAAAAGAAAGTTGCAGACTTAATAAGTGTAGCTCACATCCAAAGCCTTCTTTAAAAGATAAAACCTCAAGTTGAATATAGTGATTTTAAAGCAAGTCAATACAGTGATTTCAAAGTGAGTTGACTTAACCAATGATTTTATAAGCTATGGTCAAGCGGCCAATAAACCCCTCCAATTTTTAGTCACATTTCATCAACACTAAAACCAAAAACTCTGGTTAAGGGTTCTACATAAGCTGGTTGCATGATTCACTGGCTAACAACTAACATGTTTCAAGGTTTAGAACGCATAAACTTAAGGAAGCAATATCCATGGTTTCATTAGCTTCACTTATGAGAGGCCAGAGGAAATAAAAACCGTAATCTTATCCTAAAACAAGAAAGATAGCATGCAGTACTCCAATTTCCATACTCTGCATTTTCACAATAAGCAGGTATTGAGCCTAAAAAAGAAAAAAGAGAGTGCCTTTTTTGATTGGAAAACCTTCGTTATAATGTATCAATACCGACCTAAACATCAGCTTAAATCAAACTCGTCACAAGTTCAAACATATTCTCACAATCAGTTCCACTTTTCGCTCAAAGTACAACACAACATATCGACACCTATCAATGAAACAATTATTTTGGGAAAAAAATTAGTATTACAATTATCATTTAGGTATCTAAACAAAATCATATGCACCACACGGTTTTAAAGTAAAAAAAAAAAAAACCACAAATGCAATCTATTCAGACACAAAAGATTAAAATAAGTTAATCAATTTATTTAAAACCAGTAAATCCTTAACCATACTCGCATCAAGAACATATTAAATAAAAAAGTTTTAGTTTTTACCGCAACAAAAGAATAATTACATTAAAAAAAAAGAAAAAAAAGCAGGCTTGGCTGATCCAAGTCAGAACTTTGAGCTACTCAAAGAAAGAAACGTACTAAAACGCAAAACCCAGATGCAAAAACAGATATAAAAATCCATAAAGCTAAAATTGCATACAAATAACAACAAAAAAATCTAGGGAATATTTATATTTAGAGAAAGATAGAGAGAGAGAGAGAGTACAAGGCTATGGCGTTTGCCGGCTTGGAATGAGAGCTTTTGCTGGTTCATAGCCTGAGTATAAAGCTGAGATAAGGAGTTAGCAGCGCTGCAAAACGAGGCGTACATAGTCCGATCCACCTCATCAAGGCTCGTGGCTATCGACTTCCTTTTCTTCCCCATATTTCCCGACTCTCTCTCTCCTGCGATCGACAGAGTTTTAGCCTTTTGGCGATCGACCGAAAGAGAATTCTTTTGATTTCGGATTTTGTAGAGAACAGAGAGAAAGGTTGCTCCTTTTTTGTACTCTTCTTTAGGAGGAAGGATGCAGCAGGTTGAGGGACATTTCGACAGTACGGTTGCCCGACTGATAAGCGGCGCGTTTGGGCCGCGGAATCTATAAAGATTAAAAGGTCAGCGTTTCCTACATCTGGGTTCCAGCTTTTCCAGCATACGCGCTCAGGGCTGGGGCAGCGGGGTTTAGCCCAGGTTCAAATACAATTTTAAGGGCCCAACCGAAATAATAATAATAAATTATCTGATATATAATAATAATAATAATCTTATAAGGACAAATACGTTACTCCAACAATAAAGTGAAAACATAGATATCAAAATTATACAAAGACAAATAATAATAATAATTTTATAAAAATTTAGGACAAATAAGTTGGTTCAAGTTTCAATACTAAATCAAAATATAAATATTGTAAATCACCTCTTTTACTACTTAATATAAAAACAGATCATTAGTAAAATACAAACTCATAACCTTTTATATACGGTCAAGGCAAGATAAAGGATATTTTTATAGTTTAAATCATCCTAAGCATATAATTATTTTAAAACCTATAGAGAGCTTCAACTTCATTCCAAGTATATCATTTTTCTTTTCCTCCAATGTTTTCATTTTTCAAACACTTTATTCTTCTTTTTCTTTTTTTTATCACAATTTTAACATCCACAAACTTATTTCTTTTTGTAGGTAATGAGATGCATACTAACACAATCCTTGAACTTTTTCAACAGCTCCACCTTTTCTGCCTTTTTTAACATTTAGCTCAATGCACTTATTAAAATGATTTATATACTTAGGAGTGAGGGACACAAATTGAAAATTTATTTATAGACTAGGCTAAATTAATTATGTGTTTAAACAAAAAAAATGAAAAACTAGCTCAGAAGGGGTAAATTAAGGATACACTTATACAAAGGTAGACTTGAAAGGCTCAAACGATTAAAAGATGGCGTAAATCATCTCCTTAACTAAGTATTACTTAAGATTTCGTCTGGAGAGAAAATCAAATAAATTCTAAAATTCAAGACATTATTTAAAAATTTACAATCATATAAACCTTCATTAGATGTGCACAACAATTCAAAACAAAAGATATCGTACTTAATTTGTGAAAAATCTCATCTTGACAATGATGCTTAATATAAGAGTTCAACATAATACTCAAATAATATTCACAGTTACTAAAAGCAAAAGATAACAAAATAACTAGGTTTCATCATTGGACAGGTAAATCAAAGAAATTGACACAATTACCTCTAGCTCAAGTTCTCAAAACGCACAAAAAATTAAATGATAAATAAACTATCTAAACTTAAAATCTAAAAATATAAATGTAAAAAGATTAAACCCAAGTTTAAAAACTTAAAAGTCCCCTCCTTCCAAACTTAAAACTAGCATTATCCTCAATGTTACTAAAATAGATAAGAAAGGAAAAAGAATACTTCCTTGAATTGCGCAAAAACTCTGCTCTTCCTCTTAATCTTTATCTTTGTCAAAAATGCTTGTGGAGGCTCTTTTGTTTTTTTAACTGCAAAAAGAAAAAAAATAGAGATTAATGTAGAAATATAAATAAATAAAATAAAAATAACTAAAAAGAGAAAATATGAGTTTCGAAAGCTGGGGTTGCCTCCTAAGAAATGCTTACTTATAGGCATAAGGCTTATTCCATTAACCATAAATGTTTTAACAGCCTTACTAGCAATTTCTATGATACCACAAGTATAGACTTTAACCACTTTGAAAGAATCCAACCATCTTGATTTGCGTTTCCATGGAAAGCCCTTGACTAATTTGATTAGTAACACTCATTGTCCAACCTTAAAATCAAGATTAATTGGATGGTAGTGAAATCTGCTCATTTTTCCCCACAAAAGCTTCAAGGGGTTTCTTTGGATATTTTTTTGTCAAAAACCTCCTTAGCCAACTCATCAACTGCATTCACTCTATGATAACTTTCTATAAAAGAAGGATACTTTATTGAATCAATATATTAAACTCGACTCTCTCTTCTTTAACTTTGAAAGTTATCTTGCCACTCTTCACATCTATGATTGCTTTCGCTGTAGCTAAGAATGTTCGTCCAAAAATAAAAGGAATTTCACCATCCTATTCCATCTCAAGCATAATAAAGTCCATCGAAATGTACAACTACCCAACTTTAACCAAAACATCCTCTATAATTCCAACAGGGTACTTGATTGTTTTGTCTGCTAACTATAAAGAAACTGTAGTAAGTTATATCTCATTAAGTCCAAGTTTCCTAGTAATAGACAAAGGCATAATTGAAACACCAACACTAAATCACACAAAGCTTTAGAAAATTTAACACTACCAATAGTACAAGGGATAGAAAAACTCCTTAGATCCTTAAGCTTTGGTAGAAGATTATTTTGGATTATGGCACTACACTCTTTAATAAGTGCAACTGTCTCAAAATCTTTCAATTTTATTTTTTGGTTAAGATGTCTTTTAGAAACTTTACATAAGTAGGCATTTGTTGTAAAGCTTCTGCAAAAGGAATGTTTATGTAGAGCTTCTTAAATACCTCTAAAAACTTCTAGAATTGACTATTAAGCTTCTATTTCTAAAAGCGTTGAGGGAAAAATGGTGGTGGTTATGATGGATTTAATTGAGTTTCCTCACCTTAAGCTTGTTCTTTAGAATTTTCAACCATTGTTTCCTTTCCAACAAGCTTACTTGGAGAATTTGATTATATATTGCCACCTTCTACTTCTTTCCCACTTTTGAGTGTGATTGCATTACAATACTTTTTACCTTCTCTCTTAGTATTGGCTTCAATATCACTAGTTAAGGTTCTCTAAGACCTATAATTAATCACATGGGCAAGTTGATCCACTTATGTCTCAAGATTTCAAATTGATGCTGCTTGACTTTGAATGATAAATGCTTGATTTTGAATGATGGCATTATTCTTTGCCATGAATTTAATGAGTAACTCTTTTATAGATGGCTTTTCTCAAGCATAGGAGCTCTACCTTAAAGTGGAAATCCAAGAAAAAAATTTGGCTTTAGAGTTTATGAAGATCCCTCAATACTATTCCAAGAAAAGTCAAGACGATTTCTCCAACTAGGATTATAAGTGTTAAAATATGAATTGTTTTGCAACATGTTAGGACTTCGAAACAAAATGTACTAATTCAGAATTAAGTGGGTAACGATCACTAAAATGCCCTTTTCCACACAAATCACAAGAGACAAATGGGTCTTGAACAAAATGAACCCCCAAAATATCAAATTTCTTAGTTAATATAACTACATATGTAGCCAAAACATTAATAGATATTGGTCCCAAAAAGAATGCTAGAAGAAGGGTGAATAACACTAAAATATTTTAAAAGAAACTTTTAAGTCTGAAAAACTATTAAACAATTTTGAAATAGAAAGTTTAAAACTTGTTAAGGTTAAAAGACCCCGAATAAAAAGAAAGTTAAGCGAAGTGGAGAAAACACAATATTTATATTGATTCAGTCCACCTAACCTTCATCCACTACCTTCATCTTCCCAATCAAGAATTTTCAACCCAACTTCACTAAAAATAGTGGAATTAACAACTTCCACCAAACTTGTACAAGGTGAGCTTCTAATCCAAGCTCTAAACCCTTACAACAATCCCTAAGCTTTCTTAAACTTAGTAAATGCCTTAAAATACCTCGCACACTTTAATCAATTAAGAAATGAAGAAAAAAAGAGTGCAATTGATCATCTAGCTTACCTAGGATGTACAAAGTTAAGCTCAACACTTTTACAAAGGATGGGAGTGAAATGCAAGTGTAAAAAGAAGGTTTTTAGTCTTTTAAGCTCAAAATCACTTTGGATAACTTCTCTCTATGATTTTTGATTATTGAAAAGGCTTTAAATCCTTGAAAAATCACTTCTAGCTGCTACAGACAAAAACTAGCAATTTTTTGCTATTATTTTGTCTTTTTTTGCTTAAATTCAAATATGCAAACACTGTTTCATTAACTTGTTAAAGGCAAGCTTTAACTGATTAAGCCTTTTCTGACTTGCATAGTATTTCTCTATGTTAACCAATTAATAACAGTTTTAATTAATTAATAACTTTTTATTTTTATGTACTATTTTTGGCTAGCCTCCTTTCAACTTATTAATGCTCACTTTAACTAATTGATGCTTCTCTCCATTCATCCTTAACTGATTAAAATAGGCTCCAACCAATTAAGAATTGTTTACCTTTAAATCTCTTGGTTTGGCACCTTGGACAGTCATCAATATTTTGAATTTGAATTTTGGTGCTTCTTGACACTTTAACTTTAATCTTTAACCAGTTAACTCATTTCCTTTAATCGATTAAAAAGCTTTTGTTTTGCATTCAGCGCCCACTTAACTGATTAAACCTTATTTTAACTAGTTAAGGCCTTTCTGTCTATCTTTAGTGTAGTGTCCATAATTGCTTTAATTGATTAAGGATTTGCATTAATTGGTTTAAGACTAATCTGTTTTTATTAAAGCTCTTTCTTCCTTGCTTGTTTAACCAATTTATCTATCTTGCAACTAAACAAGCATTTTGACGTGCTTTCAAATACCAAATATATTAATGAATTTAAGCTTTTTATTAAATAATATAATTAGACACCAATGAATAGGAATGTTTTGCTATCATTAAAAACACATGGAGTCAACATTATCTCTCTTATTTTTTATGATGAAAAAATACTCCTAAATTTAGAATGTAATGTCAATGTTCAATATGAATGATTCAAAGCTTTATGCATAATGAAGATTGCTTCCCCTTAGTTAATGCATCTAGTTTTCTTTAAAGATTTGTAATAAAATATTTATAATATTCATAGTAGCTAAATAAGATATACAAAATCCATAATAGCTAAGTAAGATATATTGAATATCCATAATAACCAGCACATAATATTCAACAAAACCATAACTAAGTATCACACACATAAATTTAACATAAAGACCTATCAAACTCTATTTAACTTAGTTTTTCTTCTCTCATTTTTTATCATCATTAAAAAAGATATTCAAACTCCCCTCAATGAGTGTATCTAAATTTTCTTTTAATCTTTAAATTAGAAT